CATTTCTAAAGATCAACTTGCTGAACCTAAAAGAAGTAATTTTAAAGAATGAATATTATGTATTTTTGTGACATACGTAATAAAAATCGTATTCAATTCATCAAAAAGAAATTAAATAAACGATTCAACTTAATAAGAACATGACACTTTCATTCTCTGAAGCTACAAAAATTGTCATAAATTCTACCGTACCGGATCATTTTAGGCGTAGAATAATTGATTCGATTTCAACATAAATTAACGAATAAGTATATGTGGGTTGAAAAATTGAATGTGCATAAATCGACTACTACCAGAAAGACATATATGCTCTGTTCAATTGTTTTGACAATCACTCTATTCAGGTGTTTCAATTTATCCGTGTGAAGTAGAACATTTTTCAGTTCAACGGGCACTTACTACTTGGCATGAAATAGCATTCACTCGTTGCCGCCTTTCATGAAGCTGCACCAAGAAGCTCGAAATCGTTAAAGGTGCAACGGTTTCAATTTTATCAAAGAGGTCTTTCACTCTGTCACTTACAATCACATTTCTCCGCTTTGGGCTTAAAACAAGTTTTCAAAGGTCCCAATATGAAACTGGACAAAGCCTTCAATCGACAACTTGAAGTATAAAGGTTGAAGGAAAAGGATTTATGTAAACAGGAAACGAGGTGTGGCGCTCGCGGTAAGTTTGATGGATTTGAACGTTCAAGTGGCACTTTACAATTATTAAAAATGAACACAAATTCAAGGAAGATTATTTTAAAATTGGTTGGAGGTGTAAATTTCTGGATGCATTACAACCACTTTTCGTAGTCCTATTTGTTCAGTTCTACAGAAACTGGGACATTTTATTTATCCCGATGATGCGAGCTTGATTATACAGGGTTATGAAAAAATAATGCACAAAATCACAAAAATCATAAAAAGCGCAGCATTTGTTTTTTGAAAATTATGCAAAAACATGTCAAACTTTTTATTTTACTTTACATTTTTGGCATATTTAAAAAAAAAATTGTTCGCTAAATTTGTTGGTTTTTCGTGATAATTGGTGAAAATCTTAATTTTAATACAGTTTTTATTGGCCATATGCAAGTAAATAAGTACCTTTTCTAGTAATGCGGGCGGGTTTTTCCAAGATTTCCTTTATGGACACCCTCAGTTAGGCGCATTACTAGAATTCTTTACTTAACGGCCTCTAGCCGGAAGAGATGGAAAACCTAGAATGGATTTATAAGTATTTCATTCTTCGATTTCCAAATTCATTCATCATTCATCTTAACTTAAATCAAAAAATGTCTTCCAAACTATCATCGTGGATTCGGCTCTACTCAGAGTTGGTTCTAGATGCAGATGGTATTTTTTGCAAACCTTCCAGCAAAGCAGTAAGTTTTGCAAAAAATATTTTTTTTTTATAGATTTCGAGCACAAAGAAACATCTTATAAACCAACACTACAGAACGCCTCTTCACAAATTGTGAAAAAATTGGTCGAATGTTGTTTCGACAGAACTTCCCTCGCACCTAAAGTACAGTGAAATAAATATATCCAGTACTTTTGAGTTGCGTTTCTACTTTACAGAATTTTGTGATGACGTCATCAACATTTTTGCTAGGACACGTATATCAACTTAAGGGCCAATTTCAAGTTGGATTTACAATTTCGTAAGTCCCCGTTGCCACGAAAAATGCGATGACAGCAGTCGTGAGGATGAATCATATCGCGAATCGCAACAACGGTCATCGAAATTACCATAGCAACGGCACTTGCGATTTCGCAAATCCAACTTGAAATTACCCCCTTAGATTCATGCAGTGTAATACTAAAAATAACAGTATTGTATTTTCTGGGAAAATGGACTGAACCGTTCCTCAATTAAACAATAGAATAAATTGACACATTCATTACTATGTATACGCAAATCTAAAAAATGTGAATGCAATGATAAATCACAACTAAAAACTCATCACATTTTGCACATTTCGGGTAAGTTTTTACAAGATTAGAAATCAATTTTATCTCGACAAATACTAGGCCCGCCCACCCACCCCCTATTTTCCCAGAGGATATGTCATTTGCCGCAATAAGTCTTATCTTAGCAAGTACTAGCCCTGCCCACCCACCCTTTACGTTCTTAGAGGGTAGTACTTGACAGACTTGCTAAGATATGTCTTATTTTGGCAAATATGACATATCCTCTGGGAAAATAGGGGCGGGTGGGCGGGGTTAGCACTTGCTCAGATAAGATTAATTTTGGCAAACGCCATATCCTTTGAGAAAATAGAGGGCGGGTGGGCGGGGCTAGTACTTGCTAAGAAAAGACTGATTTTGCGCCTATTAAACTTGTAAAAACTTGTTAAATTTAAAAGGTGTTAAATTGCATATTTCCATAGTAACGTATTAAATTCCTAAATCTGATTGGATATTTATTTTTTTTACAATTCAGCCATTAATTTTTTTGAGACACCTTGTATAAGCAAATTTAAAAAATATTAATTATATATTAAAAATAAATCGCAAGGATAGACACATATTTTGTACATTTAAGATAGGATATATTCAGCAATAGTTTGAGGTGACGTCATCAATTTTTTAGGGGGGATGAGCAAATACATCTTGATCGAAAATTTACCATACTTCTGATATCTTTAAAACATCTCCAAGATGATATATCCTCTAGGAAAATAAGGGTGGGTGGGCGGGGCTAGTACTTGTTAAAAGAAGACTAATTTTGGCAAATACTAGTAAATCGAGAAAATGGATGTTTATTTTTCTAAATTTTCGATTTTTGATTTTTTGTCACCGGGCTTTTGGAATTGTCTCAAATTTTCAATGTTTGGATTTTTCGGTTTTTCAAAATTTCGGTTCGAATAAATTTGTTCTTTTAGTTAAAAAATCGAAAAATGACAAATCGCGAAAAAGAAAAATTGTAACTTGAGAACTTGAAAAATTAAGAATCAAAAAATTCCAAACTTGTCAATCAAATTATCAAATGAAATATTCAAAAGTTGAAAAATCTAAAAACTAAAAAAATGAAAACTGGTATTTCGAAGTCGATTTTTTTTCAATTTTCGATATTTCAGTTTTTGATTTTCCGATTCTACAGTTGTATAATTTTCCAATTTCTCATTTATCCGATTTTTCAATTTGTCATTTTTTTATTTTTAGCAAGTACTGCCCCACCCACGCTGCCTTTATTTTCTTAGAAGAATAAATCATCTGCCAAAATCAGTCTTATCTTGGCAGGTACTAGCCCCCCACCCATTCACCCTTTATTTTCTTAGAAGAGTGGGTCATCTGCCAAAATCAGTCTTATCTTGACAAGTAGGTACTAGCCCCGCCCACCCACCCTTATCTTCTTGAAGATCTGTCATTTGCAAAAATCAATCTCATACTTGCCAAGATAAGACTAATTTTGGCAGATGACATATCCTCTAAGAAAATAAGGGTGGGTGGGCGGGGCTAGTACCTTTTCTTAGAAGAGTAAATCATTTGTCAAAATGAGTCTTATTTTGGCAAATACTAGCCTGACCCACTGACCTTTTATTTTCTTAGACGGTAGGTTATTTGGCAAGTACCTACTACCATAGTGTAAAATTTCATTTTTGAAAGGTCGTCTAAAAATTCAGAGACGTCAAAAATATATAATGTTTATGGTAACGGAGCAATATTTTAGGAAAATTCGGTATGGAGTTCGAATTTTTAAAAATTGCGATATTTCAATGGACGATTCTGGAAAAACGGTTTAAGTTATCGAAGAAATGAAGCCAGAAGTGACTTCTGCGGCCCAAAATCTACATGGAAGTATTCAGTTAAATTTCGAAAGTTGTCGAGAATGGGTCGAAATTTGCATAAGGGAGGTAATACGAATAAATAATGGAAAATTTCATTTTTGAAAAAGTCATCTAAAAATTCACACCTTTCTCCAATTAATTCGGATTATCGAGGTTATACTGTAGTTAATTTTAATTTGTAAATGTGTAGTTTAAGTCCAAATATGTAATGTCTAATAAGTTATAAGTGAATAAGAATTTATAGAAATAAAATATAAATGTGTAAAAAAAAGTGGTTTTTTTAAATTGGTAAAAATTTATATAAAATGTTGAAAAAATAATGTAGACTTACACTACAAGCGCACACACTCTTAATTTTAGTGACTTCATCGTAAAACAAATGCAAATTTCAAATAAAACCACAATGTATTCCGAAATATATAATTATAATTAAAGTAAATGGGTTATCTTTCATTTTATTTTGCTGCATATGAATATATTAGCGATTACATTATTTTATGTGGTTGGTATTATTATAATAATACCATAACAGCACAAATTAGAAAAACATGCATATATGTAAAATTATGACATCTCCATGAATCCATTTCGTTATATTGAGTAAACATGTTTCTCTATTAACATAAAAATATAATAATACCCAGGTATATCTCAACAAACGAAATAAACAAACACACTTAATTGCTAAATCCAACGCAGCGTAACAAATTACAAACAACATAAAAACGTGTACTGTTCGAGCTCCAGCATGTCCCCAGCCGAAATGAATACTTTAATTTAGCAATTATGTAAAAAAAGCAGATGAAACGATATGCGTCCAGAAAAAAAACCGAAAAAACGAAACGTCCATGCAAATTTCACAATTAATTTAAACGAATGCGAACGTTATCGATCTGATATCAACGCTACAATATTTAGGGCCGGTCTTTTCATGTCCCAGATAAAGTGTCCGATAACTATCATCCCGATAACTTTACCTGGCGGTCTTATCTTCTAAATAAGCTCGTACCGTCTTTTCATTTTGCAACTGTTAGACATGGGTCTCCGATAACAATCAGCTAGTCCAGCTGTAAGCGAGAGAGTGGGAGCTATTGGTATTCTAACATGAATAAGAGAGAAAGACTATTTGCAACTGGGTTTGCAACAGTTTTTGACGTTCGAAGTCGTACCGTTGCTAACATAACCTCATTTACTTCGTATATTATCGTTTTGTTTTGATTACGCTATGGATGTCTATGAAGATATCGACATATTATTTGATGCAGATTTAATAAATGTGATCGAAGAAATAAATCCACATCGAACATATACTGTTCGCGAAAGGAGAGATCATTTCAACTTTTGGAATGACCAAGAGTTTTTCAATCGTTTTCGCCTTTCAAAAGCCACAGTAGAATTATTATTTAACGAAATTCAAGAGCATTTACATCATCGGACTGGAAGGTAAAAATAAATAGGAAATATTAGACGTACTATTAATTTGTGTTAATTTAAAATAGGAATTTAGATCGAGCTATTCGTCCTATGGATCAACTACTTTTAACGTTGCGATTTCTGGCCACCGGAGATTTTTATATTTGTACAGGTGATTTTCTGGGAGTCCATAAATCAACAGCAGCAAAAATAGTTCAACGTGTGGTAACAGCAATTTGTACGTTAAGAAGGATTTATATTTTTATGCCGAATACTGAGGAACAAAGACACGAGAAAATTATTAAATTTCATAATTTGGCTCAATTTCCACGAGTGATCGGGGCAATAGACTGTACGCACATAAAGTTACAATCTCCAGGAGGTGAGCGTGCGGAATTATTTCGATGTCGAAAGGGCTTTTTTTCATTGAATGTCCAAGTTATTTGTGATGCCAGTCATAAAATTTTGGATGTAGTGACACGTTGGCCAGGTTCGACACATGATGCCCACATATTTCAAAATTCATCTGTATATATGAGGTTTGAAAATGGCGAGATGGGCAATGGAATTTTATTAGGAGATAGTGGCTATCCTTCTCGAAGGTATCTTTTAACTCCGATTCATAATCCTGAAGGACAGGCAGAAAATCTTTATAATGAATCACAAATAAGAACTAGGAATGTTGTGGAGAGAACATTTGGAATCTGGAAGCGTAGATTTCCGGTGCTAAGTGTGGGTATAAGGTGTCGGCTGAATTTAGCACAGAGAGTTGTGGTGGCATGTGCCATTTTACACAACATTGCCTGCCAACAAAATGAAGAAGTTTTTGAAGGGGATGATGAAGAGGATCAGCCCGTGGTATATAATGGTGTAGAAAATAACGATGGTGGTGTTGAAGAAAGGGAAACAATAATTGATTATTTTCGAAATATGTTGACTGCAGGAGGATTTATAATTTAGTACATGCATATGTATTATTTGTTTCATGCAAAATAAAAAAATGTTTTATTTTTCTAGCAACTCTAGTGTTTTTTTTTTAATCGATAATTCACATTCTAGTAACTCCATTTTTTTTAAATACAGTTTCTGTTCCCTCTCGATTTCTAAATCCAAAGCGGCTAATTTCTGTTTCTGAATTGCCATTTTTAATTCATGTTCTTCAACTCGACGAAGCTCCTCGTTTTCCAGGTACTTCTTCTGCAATTCTACAAGGTTATGACGTGAGTTCACCACATTCTCCACTTTCACGTTTAATTGGTCCTTGGTACAGTGCCCCTTTGCCTTTTTTTGATTTAGGAGAGGATGTTTTTTTGTTTTTAGTTGTGCAGGAGACCATCCCGTCCATTTAATATTTGAGTTCACTCCTGTACTTGAACCCTACAATCATTGCAACTGTTAAATGATATTTTACCGAGTATAGGCTCCTTACCTCTCCTCCGTCCTTTGAGCAAACCTGCAAAAGTCCCGGGACGATGGATTCCTCTGTTTCAGATGGATCAACATGTGCCTCCTGCAAATGCAAGTTAACGATTAGCAAAGAGTCAAATGACTAATTAAAGCAGAACTTATACATCAATTATTATTTGTGGCACTTGAGCATCTGATGTTAGATCCTCATTGACTCCAATTTCAATGTTCGGGTTATCTGATGTTTCACCATTCATTGCTAAAACATTGAAACAATTGTTTATATTTCAAAATTAATATCTATTTATATAATATCCATATTTTTACTGTGATTTTATGAAGAAAAAATTGATGTAGAGCAATAAACTTGCATATTTTGAAGGAATGTTTGATGCTTTTGCTTAAATTAGCGATAGTGACAGTAAAAATGTGAATGCAGCCCATGTATTCTCACCCATAGGAATCAATCCCTCATCTGAATCAAATTCGGATGGAAGTCCATTGACAGGCACTGTTAGGGACTCTAACAGTTCGGTCTCATAATCTTCAAAACTCATATACTGGGAAGATCCGCCACCAGTTTTGTACGTTTCTTTTTTATTGAACGCAACTTTGCGTTTTATATCTCTCTTCGTCGCTTCGTACTTTTGACGAATCCTTTCTGGTGTTCGGATTACATTTCCTATTTTTAATTACAATATATAATAAAAATATAATTTATATAACATGTAAAGTAAATAACTTGCCTGTTATTGCATTGTATTCGGCAGCAATTTCTTTCCACGTCTCCTCTTTCTGCTTCCACGTGACGGAATCGGTTCTTTTATTTTCAATAATATGCGCCCTAGTAGCAATAATTTTTAAAAGCCGCCTTGTTTCAGCCTTCGTGTAATTTGGCTCCCTCTTCCGTTTTTCTTCATTTTCAATTTTTCGTTTGCCCATTTTTTTTAAATAATAAAATCACTCACGATTCAAATAAAAACAACACCTACACCACATAACCTATAACGGTCTTTGGCAGAAATGGCACGTCATCGACAAGTGAGCAATCGCGTAAGTTCGCTGCGCCATCGGCTGTCGCCGTCAGATATCTGTAGGAATCGGCGACTATTCGGAACTCAAAGTTCCGAATAGTGTATCTGCCGAATAAGAGCTATTTATCTGGGAGATAATTTTGTCAGGTGGTGAAAAGACACCATTTGACGTTATCCAGCAGATAAAAATTATCAGGAACTTTATCAGGAGGTGAAAAGACCGGCCCTTAGTGTGCAAGTGAACCGTAAACTTTTAAACTTTTATCCGCTCCTCGTTTCTGTATAATTTCCAATATTTCACAGTCAATTATCGAGCCAGAAAAAACAGGCAAGTTCAACAAATGGCGTAATACTCGAGACATATAAAAGAAGAACGCCGTTAAAGACCCTCAAATCCATCAAGGTCGCGTGATGTAATCTACAAAGTAAAAGGAAGAGAGAAACATCCACGATGCAAAATAGCAGTCAATAAAAAAATGCGGCCTGTAGCCGTCTCATTTCACGCACCATTCGATCCACGAATGGGGAAAACTGATGTAATCTTCATTCTTCAGATTAAACCGCCTCCGAGGTTAGCGCCGCCGCCGGGGCAAATAATGAAAAAATAATTTTTAGAGTCGATACTAGCGGGACAGGAGAGGTTCTCGGTGGTTTATGGTGGTAGCTTCAGGACAATGAACGTTACATGCAATGTGAGAATTAACGTGAAATTAATAAAAGAGAATTTAGATTTTCAGACAATTAACGTGCATTTGTATTAAATGGAATGTTAATTTTTTCAGGTCAATGTTTTATTTTGTGTTTTAATAACCTGTTTTGTGCGATGTTATTGAGTTAATGAAATCTGTTTATTTATGTTACAGACAACATGAAGTATTTACATAAAGCAGGTTGCTTTTAGTTGTGAAAACATATTCCAAACGAATTTGGGTAAGATTAAATTATGGTTAATAAACTTACTAAAAGTTGTTTTAATTGACAATGCTGTAGCTAACGTTTTGTGAAAGTACAAAAACAAGCTCCTTTTAAATTTAGTTATCTTCAATTACGTAACGTCGGTATTCAATTACAACAAGAGACAAATTTTGACAATATTAACGACCTTTTGAAAGATCCGTATTTGGTAATTATTCTGCTTACTAATCATGTATGTTTTCGTTAAAAATAAAACCGGTGGATTGAAGTAAATAAAAGATCAGCAGGTTCGTGTTTACTGATTGTTCGCTTGTGGTTTTCACAGAGGGAGATCAAAAATTAATTCTCAATTTATTTGTGTACAAGGATTATTGCAAAAGGTTCATATTATAAAGCTAATAAAACAAAATCGACAATAAAAACACGACAATGAGACCTAGTAACGCTGAAGCGAATTAGACAAAATATTTATAAGTACGAAAAGATTCTACGACAACTGGTCGCAAACAATTGATCGCGCGACAATTGATCGCAAGCAACTCGTCGCAGCACAATTGGTCGCACGCGACAATTGATCGCGGCGACAATTGATCGCAGCGACAATTGATTGCACGTAAATTGATCGCAGCGACAATAGATCGTACATAAATTTATCGCAGCGTCAATTGATCGCAAGGTAAAATTCATCGGGAAGTATTTTCTTTTATTAAAACTAAATATTTTGTATTCTGAATTTTAAGTTGGAATAAATTTAGCAACCAGGTAAGGTGTAAATATCGAATTAAAAACAATTTGAATATAGATAAGTGACGAAGTTTGTAGTTGCACTTTAAAAATTAAAAAATACGAGCGTAAATACCTTGTTACATAAGATTTTTTATTAATAAATTGTCATTTTGGTTATTTTTTTTAAGAGATTGTTTCTATTTATCTTGTTGCTTATTTTACCTATTATATTATAGGAACTAGCTTCATTATAATAAGTACTCAACATAAAAACAAGTGTTTATTGTTCTTAACTAGATTACAGTTATTTAAAAAATCATATTTTTAACAACCTTTAAATTTTAACACATTTTGATACAGAATTGCCTCTATTGTCTATTCTTGTCTTGATACATATCACCAAACAATAAAATTTATGAACTAATAGTACATCTAGAGTATCCATATGCAGCGAATATAAATTCCACTGGACGGATATAATACTTATTTTAATCCCTTGTAAATTGCAACGGATCTTTTACAGGGTTTGAGAAAGGTTTACGTGTATTGTAAATATATATTGCAAAAACTTTTGTTAGAGCGTCAAGAATAATTTTGTGTTACCGGGAAATCTAAGAAATGTAGGTACTTATGCAACTAAAAACTAATTTTTTAATTATTATTATGTGACTAGTATTGTACTGAAGAAAAATTCAGTTGTACCATATGTGGGTGTAAAAAATACATATACAGGGTTAGTCACGAGAAAATTATTTCTGAAAATTATTTTTACGCAACCCAAAATACGAATACCATGTACCACTTGATACTAACTGAATTTAAAATGAAATGCTTAATTCATGATTGCTTTGAGTTTGGCAATGTCATTTTGACAATTCTGGAAAAGGAGGTTACGCGAGTGTCCATGGTGGTACCGCGGCCAATTGGAGATCTCCGCTGGCGCCGCTAATAAGTTTGTCAGGGCTTGCTTCGAGTGCCTCTTGATCTTTTGCAACCGATTAATGACGAGAAAATTATTTCTAAAAATTCCTTTTACGATAGATATTTCTGTGACGTGTAAAACAGCTCTCAGATCTAAAAAAAAGGAAGAAATAATTGGTTCGCAGTTTTCCATGAATGACCCTACTACGGGCTGCTACCTGATTTTATTCTTCTCCGCACTTTGCATCCTACAAAAATTTACAACATGGGCTGGAGAAGCCCACCTACATCCGGCAGATTTGGCAAATAATTCTGAGTGAATAGTCGGCCTTCCGAGTGAAAACTTTTCGAACTTCCCAAGCTAAAAATTAGTCACGCCATTGCGAATAACCACTACTCAGTGGCGTCGTCATCCTGGTTGTTTGTACTTTTTAACGGTATTCACTGTTTGTATTACTTGTTACTCGTGATGTGTTGATTGATTTAAATATTTTAAATAATATTAATTAATAGAGAATATAAATCTGTTATGTGCGTTGTTTTATTCAACAAATTTTATTCCATGAGCCGCATCAAAAAAAAAAAAAAAACTACGTCACTGTCATCGGCAGTCTTATCTGGGTAATGAGGGGTACTGTTTATGACACTTTACCGGTTTGGCTCGAAACCATCATTTTAAGTCTGGCACTTCCTCCAGTATGAGTATATTCCTTTGCTCCATGGTCAAAACTAATCTTTTTACGATCTTGTTTACAGAAATGGCGTAAAAGTGGAGATTGGTATGTAGGTACTTAGCAAAGGGAACGAGATAAATTATTCATTTTGTCGTATCTACAAGCGCCTTATTAACAGTGTGAGCGTTCAAAAAAGTTCTGAATGAAAAAACATCTTTGGTTTTATCATGGATTAAAGATAATCCAGAACTAATTTGTAGTGAGCAAAAAATTGTCTGCAAAG